AAATATAGAAAATAGTGGTCATTTATCCCAGACAGGGGAAAGAGAGGGCCAGAGGCAGACTTCTCTGTGGCTTGGGGTTTGTCCTTTTGAAGGAAGCTGTTACTTGTAATGCTGAAAAATTGGCTTCAGAACACTAATGAATTGTTGGTGGAGTTGTGGAATTATCCAACCATTTTGGAGAGAAATTTGGAACTGCCCAAAGGGCTATAAAAATGTACATACCCTTTGACTCAGCAACAGCACTTCTAGGGCTGTATCCCAAAGTGATCATACAAATGGGAAAAGGACCCACATGTCCAAAAATATTTATAGCAGATCTTTTTGTGGTGGCAAAGAATTGTAAATTGAGAGGATGCCCATCAATTGGGGAATGGCTGAACAAGTTGTGGTATATGAATGTAATGGAATACTATTGTGCTATAAGAAATGATGAGCAGGCAGACTTCAGAAAGACCTGGAAAGACTCGTATGTTCTGGTGCTGAGTGAAGTGAGCAGAACCAGGAGAACATGTTGTGTGATGACTAACTTTCATAGACTCAGCCCTTCTCAGCAATGCAAGGATCTAAGACACCTCCAAAGGCCTCATGATGGAAAATGCTATCCACATCCAAAGAAAGAACTATGGAATCTGAATGCAGATCAAAGCATACTATTTGCTTTTTTTTTCTCTTCTGTTGAGTTTTGTTTTCTCTTTCTGGTTGTTCCTCCTATTGGTTCTAATTCTTACAACATCACTAATGTGAAAATGTTTAATAGGAATGTATATGTATAGCCTATATCAGATAGAGCACCATCTTGGGGAGGGAGGTGGGGAGGGAGAGGGAGAAAAATTTAAAACTCAAAAGCTTATGGAAGTGATTGTTGATAAATCATAATAAATTTTAAAAAAAGAATTGGCTTCAGAATTCTATCTTCCCACCCCCATCTTTCTTATAGACCTTGGTGTCTCTGGGGGTCCCTGCAAGAGGAGGGCGTAGGAAGATCAGGAGATCCACATCATCAGTGGCCAGCTTGTTTTTGCGAGGGTGGAAACTTGTGTATGGGTAATTTTTTTCTACCAAATAACCCAAAGGGAAAAATACTAGATCCTGCAGCTATAGTTGGTGGGTTCTTGCATCAATACAAATGTACCTCCAAATTAGTACATATTTGTACAAAATTGCTTAAATGTTTTTGACTCAACTTTTTATTTCATTGGTTTAAGCAAGTCCCAATGAGGAAGCCTCTCCTACCTGTGCAAATATGAAACTATCCTGGGACTTCATCTTAAAGAGTTGGTTGGGGCATTGAGAAGTTAAATGACTTCCCCAGAGTCAATCAATAAACATTTATTAAGTATCTGCTGGGCATTGTGCTAAGCACTGGGGAAACAAAGAAAGACAAAAGACAGTTGCTGCTTTCAAGGAGCTAACTGGGGAGACAAGATGCAAACAGCTATGTGCAAACATATTATATACAGGATAAATTAGAAATAATCAATGGAGGGAAGGCACTAGAATTAAAAGAGGTTGGGACAGGCTTCCAAGGTAGGGTAGAAAGTAGAGTTTTAGTTAAATCTTGAAGAAAGCCAGGGAGTCCAGGAGGCAGAGATTTGGACATGGGGGTCAGATGGAATGTCTTGTAGGAGGTAGAGCAAGGAGGTCCATGTGATTGGATCCTAGGATATGTGGGGGTGTAAGGTATAAGGATACTGGAAAGATATGTGTGGGTGAGGAAGATTATGAAGGTCTCAACACTAAATAGAAGATTTTATATTCGATCCTGGAGGTGATAGGAAGCCACTGGAGATTATTGAATGGGGATGGGGTGGGAGGGTAGGGAGGTGACATGGTCAAACTTATGCCTTAGGAAGATCACTTTGGCAGCTGAGTGAGAATAGACTAGAGTGGAGAGAGCCTTGTGGCAGGGAGACCAACCAGTAGGCTGTTGCAGTTTTGCAATACGTAGGCTTGAGGTGATAATTGCACCAGAATGATGACAATATCAGAGGAGAGAAGTGAGTGTAGACAAGATATATAATGAAGGTAAAATAGACAACAGATTGGATATGGGGGCAGGTTGAAGAGGGAGGAATTAAGGATAACACCTGGATAATAGCCTAGATGAGTAGAAGGATGGTGGTACACCTGACAGTAATAGAGAAATTAGGAAAAGGGGAGGATTTGGGTAAAAGATAATAAGTTCATTTTATGAACTTTCAGCAATTCAAAAGAAAAACCTAAAGGAATGAGGCCATTTTTTTAATTGGGAAGGCAGGGAGGAGTCTAACCACTAATTGTTTACTGCCCAGACCATATTTATGACTACACCTTATACTAGTACTAGGTGATTTCTAGGTCTTGGGTTGATTGTTAGTTTCTTGCCCCAAACCTGGGGACATGTTGAGTTTAGGTTAGTTCAAGATGTCCAACAGGCTATTGATGATGTGAGACTGAGGTCAATCAAAAGGTCAGGGTTGGATAAGATTTGAGAATAATCAGTTCAGAGATGATAATTGAATCCATGGGAGCAGTTGAGATCCCCAAGTGAAATAACATAAAGGGAGAAGAGAAAAAGGCCCAGGACAAAGCCCAGTGGGACACCTAGCCACATAGGCTGTCACATACCCAGTCTGTCTCAGAGGCAGGACTGGTAACCAGTCTTCCTGATGCCAAGGCTGGATCTCTAATATATTATGCTGCCTATTGTCTTAAAAGTAGAACTATGTGATGCTGGGCAAGTCACTTAACCTCTGTTTGCCTCAGTTTCCTCAACCATAAAATGGGGATAATAATAGCACTTACCTTTCAGGGTTGTTGAGAGGATCAAATGAGATAATATTTGTAAAGGACTTAGCATAGTGCCTGGCACAATAGGCACTATATAAATGCTTATTTCCTTCCCTTGAAATATTATGCAAATCATATAAATCTGAATTAAGAAGATTTTATTCTCTCCTAAAGTTCTCCAAGGTGGTCCTGAGCTCTTGAGGGCTTTGCTAGAGAACACAAGCTCCAACAGCTTCCACCAGTCAGACAGATTTTGAGTGTGGGTCCTGGGATGGCACTTGTCACCTAAGAACCAGCCCAGCTAAGACTGGAGAGACCATTGCTGGAAGCCTGGGCACCAGGTGAAGAACTATTTGGCTATAGCAACTAATAAAGTCTGAATCTTGGCAGGATTGTGAGTAGCACTGGTGAAGGGAATATCCATACTGATGAAATCCAGGCCCTTTTGACCTACTGAAGTTTGAAATTTGTGAAAGAAATAAAGCTGGCTACTGAAAATGAGTCCTGGGGAAATCTAGGCAGATACTGTTCATTTATAAACAGAGTGACATCTGTTGCTCTTAAAGTGTGAAGGAAGCATTCATCCAGGTTACTGACCTCATGTTGTTCATCCTTTGTTTTTGAAGAGGACCAATAACATCACAGGGTGATGTCCTGACTTGAGCATGAATTGGATTTAAGTGAGGCAGAATTGCACAAAATCATCTGCCTCACTCTGTCTTCCAGAGTCATTGAAGTCCAGTAGCAGGACAAAAGTCAGGATGACTGGCCATGGCCTGGGATATAGTAGATGATCTTGGCATCTTCAACATTTGGCTAAGCTCTAAGCACTTCACGGCATCTGCTTCAGCTGCCTTCATGGCCATTGGAACAAATGGTTCTCATCTACCTATTCCTCTGGGGGAGGACTTCATGAGTTTGGGGCAGACAGGAATGAAACCTGTCAGTTACCCTCAACCTGGTGTGGCCTGTCTGCTGAAATGGTTTTATCAAGGTGTGGCCGCTGCATGTGTTGCAGCTTCTTGGAGCCACCCAGCTTGAGAGTTGGGTGAAAGGTGGATGAGCAGCCCTGAAAAGAGTTTGGCAAGTCCTCACACCGGAGGTGCTAGTGCCCCTTGAATGACCCATACACCCCACTGACCTAATATGTGACTACCTATTAGCATTCATATAGACACATAGACACTGGCAAAGTTGCTGAAATCAAGAGAATCAGAATAGTTGGAAGGACGAAGATTCTGAGCAAAAGACTCAGGCCTATATCTCTATTTCTCAGTGTCCACAAGAAAATGAAACAATGTCAGTGATTCTAGAAACTCCTAAGCACTGGTGTAGGCCAGTATATGGTTGGTATAGAGGATTCATTTTAGAACATGAGGATTTTCTTTCAAAGGAGAAATTATAGGATCACAGATTTAGAAGCAGAAGGGACCCAGAGACCATCTAATCCAACCCCTTCATGTTTCAGATGAGAAAGCTGAGGCCCAAGAAGGTTAAATGACTTGTCCAAGGTCACATAGGTAAGAAGTAAGGGAGGGAGAATTTGAATTTAGGTTCTCCAACTCCAGAGCCAATGTTCTTTCTGCTATACCACAACTCATTCTTTCTGAAGTAACAATAATAGCTCACATTTAGATTGTACTATAAACAGCAAACATTGACATAGCACCTACTATGTGTCAGGCACTGTGCTAAGCAATTTACAAACATTATCACATTTGGTCCTAACAACAACTCTGAGAGGTAGTTGTTATTATTATTCCCATTTTATAGTGGAGGAAACTGAGGCAAACAGAAGTTAAGTGACTTGGTCAGGGTAACATAACCAGTCAGTGTCTGAGGCCAGATTTGAACTCAAGTCTTCCTGACTCCAGGCCTGCTGTCTACTCCCCTAGCTACTGTCAAGCTTCCCAAGCCTTTCACCACAACCACCCTGGGAGGGAGTGAATGCCAGCATCATTATTCCCATTTTATATGTGGAGACTCAGAGAGCTGACGGGAATTGTCCCCGATTATGGAGCTGACTCAGAAATGTTGGAGCTTGGATTTGAACTTGTCTCTGAGTCTAGAATCTAGTGTTCTTTCCCCTTCACCATATGGTCTGCAGCTGGTGAGAAGAACAAGGACAACACCTTAAGGGCAAAGCCACAAGTGAAAGTGAAGCTGTTCGCTAGGGCCTTTTAACCCCTCCTAAGCCAATGGACAGCTGGTGCAGAAGAGGGCTGGCTCACCTCATTATCCTGGTGATTTATTTCGCTGATATTTGATTGCTGTAGCAGCACTGCTAAGAGTCTGTGAGGAGAAAAAAATCAAACAGGAAATGATAGTCAACACACTGCGGGAAAAAACTGGGTCATGTGCTTTCAGAAGCTGTGTACAAAGGTGGCGCTGGGAACATAATTGAGTTAAAAGCAAACCCAGGGAGTGTTTCTCTGCTTTCTGATAGGAGACCAGGGCCCCGTCTGTGTACTTAGAAGCAAGGGTGTGGGCTGTGGAGGCCATGATGAGAATAGGGTTAGGCTATGGATTGTGTGATGGGAAAACCAGTGGCCTGGCACATGTGGGTGATCCAGCCACAGAGGCCAAGCCACCAGACTCTCGCTTTATAGCAAGTTTTATGTAATAGATTTTCAGTTTCACGTGCAATCATCTTTCAAAAAATTATATTATGTTATGGAAATGCTTGTTTTATTCCATAAATTAAAAATAAAATTCATAAAAAATTAAAAAAAAATTTTAAAATGGCAACCTTGAAGTCTTCCTGGATTCTTCTCTCTGACATTCAATCAGCTTTTTGTCAAGTCTCATGATTCTACTTCCACATCTTTCATATCTACACCTTTCTCTTCATTCGAAAGGCCACTATCCAAGGATCATAAAATCACTGGTTTATTTGGCCTCTCAAGGCTTGGGTTAAAGCAAATGCCTGCGTTTGAAAATTTCTAGAAAATTTGGAACTCAGGGAAATGATACAATCATGAGCTTTGTTGTTAAGCTTTATTGCAAGCAGGCAAACTCATACACTACTTGGCAATATAAATTAATAGCTTTGTCCCTGTATGCCAGACACTCACCTCAGCCTGAGGGGAAGAAATATGTGTTGGGGAGGGAACATATCAAGGTTGGGGTTTAGATGACAAGATTACATACCCAAAGAATGGGCTTGGTTGAGAATAGGTGATGGGTTTACCAGATGTAGGAGGGGATATTCCATGTCAGATCCACATGTGGTAGAAAGGATCTTGGGGTCCCTTACTAATATACCAGGCTTGGGGGAACTTAGGTAGGGGGAGTTTCTTTAACGGAACCACAAACTGGTGGGAGGATCTACCATTAGCTAAAGGCAGCAGGAGAATGATTCAAGGCCCCTGCAGAAGGTCAAGATTTCATCCAATCAAAAAGCTTCAGGCCTTATCCACCTGTCACAGAGTTAATAGTGAAAAAATTCAAGTCTGTTTTGACTACATGTTTCCGTGGGCATTAGGACCACTTAACCTTAAGTGACTCATATTGGAGTCCTATCATTATAAATGTATTCTCAAACAATGACGTCAAACAAGTTTATAATGATCCCAATCATGGAGTTAGAACTGACCATGGAGGTAAATTTAGTATAACTTTTTCATTTTACGGATGTTGTTGTTTGGTTTTCATTCTCAAAGTGGATCAGTGACATCAGGAGAGTGATGCATGTGAAATGGATTTAAGTGAGGCATGGCTGTGCAAAGTCATCAGCCTCACTATCTCCTTCAGAGTCATCAGAGCCCAATGGCAAGACATAGGTCAAGACAACTGATGATGGCCCTGGACACAGTGGATGACCTTGGAGGAGAGTGAGGGCCCGAAAGGGTAAAGGCCTTGCTCAAAGTTACTCAGGTAGGAAGTGGCAGAGCCGGGATTGGACTCAGGTCTTCTGACTACAAATTTAGGTTTCTTTTCACTGTTTCACTCCATTTAATAACGCTGGAGAATACAGGCATTATTCCTGTTACCTCATACATGCTTGGTGAGTGTTCTACCATTTCTACTCATTCTACTTGATGCTGGCAAAACTAGTATAATAGCTTATTGCATTTCTCCCTGGTTCTCATCTCTCTGCCATTGCTAAACCATCTTTCAAAGCTGTCAAGTTAATCATCTTTAGACAAAGTTGTAGCCATATCACTCCCCTAATCAAAAGACTCTAGTAGCTCTTCCTGTTGCCTTAGAGATAAAATAGACATTTCTCTTCTTGGCATGTAGGACCCTCCACAATCTGGGGCCCAGCTCCAATCTGGCTCCAGTCTACTTTTCTGCCTTATTTCATATTATTCCCCTACAAACACCATTTGCCAAACTTGACTGCTAGCTGTTCCCTAAGTTCAGCGTCCCATCTCCTGATTCTGGGCGTTCAGACAAGTGGTGTCTCATGCCTGGAGTGTACCTCCTCTTCACTTCTGCCTCTTAGAATTGTGGGAATGCTCTAAAGCTCAATAGTAGCAGAGCTAACATTTATACAGTGTTTTAAGTTTGCAAAATGCTCTACATATTTCATTTGATCTTGCAACAACTCTGCTTGAGTGCCACCCTCTCTGTGACATCTTTTCTGATCTGCCCCACTGAAGTACAGTTAGTGAAACATTACAACTTCCAGTTCACAGATTCAGGTCAACAGCTGCTGTTTCCGCACCTTGGGTTTGAATATGGGAGGGAGCTTAGGAGGCCACGTTCTTTCCTAATCACTGTCCAATGTTGAATCTCTGGCTTTGGTCTAATATATGGGCACCCTGGGAGCCTAGAGAATTGGTGATGGGAAAAAGGAGGGGTTTGCCTTGGATTCAGCCTGGGCCCTGCTTTGATGGTAATGAAGGATAAAGTCTGTTCCTCAAAGATGATCAGATAGGCTCTTTGGGGCAGCCCCAGAGCAAAGTAGACTGTTCTGGGGAAAGTCCTAGGATTAGCAAAAATAGATGTGCCCTGGAAAGCTGACACATAACCTTTTTCACGTAAGTCAGACTTAACGTTGGAAGGTCTCATGGGGTTGATGTGCCTCCAGGTATGCTTACTGTGTTTGTAGCCTCTGTTCAGGAGGAACAGCCTTATTCAGCAATTCAATGCCCACGTGTGTAAAGTGTCCAGTATTTCTCAAAGTGTCATGCTGGTATGTTTATGCTAGTATGGCTCAACAGTGTCACTTCTTATGTCTCAGTGCCAACCCTCAGTACCAAGTCATGGCACTTCTCAAACTCTGTTCAGTCTCCAGACCTAAAACATGGTAGGTAGCAAATAAACCCCACAACAGTGCAATTTTTAGACAGCAGGTACAGAGTCAATGATGGGACTTTGTCAGCCGAGTCCTCACTCTCTGTTTTCAGTATAAGGCTATAAATATAGGATCAGAATATCAGGTAGCTATGAGTCCCTCATCTATAAGCATCCTGGCAGTAGCCCATTTCTATTTATCTTTTTGCTCTATCCTCTTTTTCAGGGTCCTGTGACCATGGACTCTAATGATCCCCCAATCTTTGACACACACGCTCCTGAGAAAATAGATGTTATCCAGGGTACAGCTATCAATTATTTCATGAAAAGGAGTCAACATTCTGGTGCCCTTTGCTGTTTCTGTGCAGCAATGCCCTATGCATGACTTTCCTAAGGAATAGATACAAGTAGTACAGACACACAAAAAATGCCTTCTAGGTAGCCAGACTTATTAGAACTATGACAAGGTTTGTCCTGTTCAGTCTCATGTGACTTTCTTGTTACGTTTGAAACACCAGCTCAGAAACTGGGTTCTTCTTGTTTTTTTTATACATCATCCATGGCAGACTCAAAGTGGGAGAAAGTCTGATGCCCTCACTGGGGTATCGGCAATAATTATTGCCTTTGGCTTCCACAACTCAATTTCCTGGCCTTCCTGGCGGTGTTAACATTCTGCTTCATCGTCGTGATTGACCAGTTTTGTGCCACACTAAAAAACAAAACAAACAAAAAAACCAGTCCCCAAGCCTGCTGTCTCATCCTAGCTCTGCCTGGCAGTTACTCATATCACACAGGCAGTTCAAGAATCAACTTTAATGAAACATGCTGTAATAGGCATAGAACTCTATCCATATCTTCAGTAACTGAGCACCCAAATCCCAAATAATGATTTTCTTTCCTTTTAGGTCTAATGAGATAAATGAAAAAAGGAGTAGAACTTTTGGCACATTGGAAGGAAAGACTAGCCTTCTACCCAGAGGGTCCCTAGAAAACTCTTCACAAGAGTCCCTTGGGTTCCTGTTAAAGAGAATCACTGGTCCCTTTCCAATCCCAGCATGTTCAGTGTTGTACAACATGGCCCTAGTCTCTCTGTGGTCTTTAGTTCGTGACATCGCATGCTTTCTTTTACTGATGCCTTTTGAGTGTACCACGTAATGAGCAAGAGAAGCCAGGGTGAGGCTGAACTGTGGAAAGTCTGCAAGAAGGTGGTGAGCCGGAAGTCTTCATAGAGGCCTCAAAGAGTAGAGCTTTGCTCCTTTGATTTGCAAACCCTTTCTTACATTTTCATAAATCATTTCCCCCTGCTTCACTTACATCATGCCTTGATTTGCAGCTTAGCCAAGTGCTTGCATTAGAATTGAAAGGCTCTGATAAGCGGCAGCAGTTGGATGCAGTGAATAAAAATGATACCTAAAGCAAAGAGCTCCTTTGCGGAGTCTCCCTGGGCTCTGGTTTACGAGTTCCTTCACTCTGTGCCTCTATGAAATTCTCTCCAGGTCACTGTTGGGGCTGCTTAAGGGACGACTGATCTTAAAGTGGGTCTGAAATTCCCACCCCAGGAAGGCAAGAAGATCTGAATTTCAGCACAGTCTGCTTATCAGTATCATTTCAGTAAGGATTATTTTCGGTGAACTACTGTGACAATGTGGTTTTTACAGTAAACATGAATCTGGATTTGTAGATGTACCTGTGTGCCCCAAAGGTAGCCTGAGAGCTGGTGTGGTGTCAGGGATCTTCCACTACGGGAAACTGAGGTTTCAGGTTTGATCTTTTGCATGTATTACCTATGTGACTCACCTCTGAGCAAGGATCACTGGTATCACAATAATCATACTAAGTGTAATGTGGAGGTTCTTTACTTGGGGTAGATTATTGGAGGTCTGTGAACTTGGATTGGAAAAATATCACATTTTTATTTCAATATTGTTGATTTCCTTTGTAATTCTATGTATTTCATATTCATTTGAAAACCTTATTCTGAGGAGTCCATAGTTTCCACCAGACGTCCAAAAGGTTCCAAGACACACAGAAAAATGAAGAATCCCTGGGCTAAAGGAAAAAGTAGATTTCAATATGATTCCTCTGTGTCAAGAGAGAACATTGTGGAATGATGTGTGTTAATTAGCTAATGGCTGACTTTGAGTTCCAATTCTGTCTGTACTAGGCCAACCTTCTGCTGTGGTCACTCATAAGTTTAGAATGAATTGTATTGTTGCTGACAAGACTATTCTGACTCTGTATTTACTTATTTATGTACACAATTGTTTCCCCAAGTAGAATGTAAGCTCCTTGAAAGCAGGGACTTTTTTTAGTTTCTAGAACATGCTTAACACAAAGTAGGCATTTGATAAATGCTTGTTGAGTAAATGAATGAATAAAAGCAGGTAAGGAGCCACCTAGTAAGTCTAGTAAGTCAGAGTAGTACACACCCAAACGGTACATTTGAAACTCATCTGCTTAAGATCATTGCTGGGAAGGAGTCTGGTTTTGCAATTTTTTTATTTATTGCCGGGAAAAGCTATTTTTTTAAATCACTCATCAGGAAGGAGTCAGACCCTAACCATGTTTTCTCATGGAGAGCTGTTTGTAGTTCTAACCTATTTTCTAAGCTTCCTCATTTTGGTGAGCTTTGGAGAAATTCTATCTTCCTGTTATTTCTGTGTGTTCCAATGATAACAACTGGCAAACCCTGGGAATAGTCCTGGAATCCCCCTAGTCCTTTTATTTCTTTATGAGAGACTGAAGGAAAGAAGAGAAATCTTTTGATCTCTTTCCAGGGAACCCAGCCAAGTGAGAATCTTGCTTTCTCTCACACCCAGATTCTGGTCTGATTCTGTCCTATCTTTAAGGTTTGGGTCTGAACTGAAGTGGGCATCATATATTTTCACCATTGTGTTATCTCACAGTTAGAGATCAGAGAAGACAGGTAAGAGGTTGGGGTGTGTCCTTGAGGAAAACATAGGTTTTAGAGCTAGAAGGGACCATAAAAGTCCCTTTCCTTTAACCCCATTCCTTTACTTTATAGATGAGGACATTACCAGAGAAGAACTAACTTCTCCAAAGACACACCAGTAGTAAGGAAATAGAGGCAGAGTTTGCATCCAGGGCTTCTAATTCCAAATCCAAAGACTATTTCTATGTTATCCTTCAACAGTAGGAATTAGGGCATGCCTTTAAGGAATGGCTGATCCAATGAATTACTGTCATGCTGGGCTTTGAAGGACTTGTCTAAGATCAGGCCTAGATGACAGGTGAAGGGGCCTAGAACCTAGGGGGGTGAAGTATGGTGATGGCCAGTATTTGACTTGATAACAACAAAAGCTTTTTGCCCAGTCTAGTCCACAAATAGGTTTTTTTTTTATGCCTTCTAACATAAAACTCCATCTTTTTTTTTAAACACTAATATTCTTCAAATGATGCCATCTAACTGAGAAGCAGAATGTAACAACTGCCAAAGAAGAAGGCAATGGAGACGTGGTGAGTTTAAGTAGGCAGCAGCTTATTAGATATTACACCTTCTGTAAAAGAAGTAGCAAGATAGATATCACCAAGGAAATATATGATTAAAAAAGGAGGTGGGTTGGTCAGCTAACAAAGATGAATGATTAAGAGGTGGACAACCTGAGTGAGTATGCACAGAATATGAAAAAGACCTAGAGTAAGGGCCCCAACATGATAATCCTCCTCCAAGGATTTGTTGGAGGACATGGATAGAAAGAGAGTAAGTGTGGCATAGTGGATAAAAGGCTTGCCTTGGAGTCGGGGAGACCTGGGTTTGAGTACTGCCACTGACAAACTGGCTGTGTGACCCTGGATAAGTCACTCAACTTCTTAATGACTCAGACAACTCCCTAATATTATAAGTAACGTGAGTTGCTGATTATTGATGGAGGAAGTTTCTACATGTGGAGGTATCCATCTTGATGAAACAAAGCTCTAGACCCCCTCGTTCCTCCCCACTCCCAACCCATACAAGAATGACATAGGATGAGATGGTAGAAATAGGTCTTGGTCTTCACCACTAGAAGGAATGCCTAAATCAATGATTCGTTGGAGTACATGCATCCCACAAAAGATATCACTTTGGATTGCCCTACCTTGGGGGATGGTATGATCTCTGTCTACTACGGGCAGGACAAAGGGGAAAGAGTAGCAGGAGGTACTTAGGTCAGATATTTGGCAGAACGTATTGAAGATAAGGGAAGATCTTTGACTATAGAGTCTATTCTCTGGGGAGGTAACTATCTTGAATGGATTGGGATTTCCCCAGTGGTATGAGAACAAACTAGGTGACCTCATGGACACTCTTGTCAACAATTCCATCTAAACACGTGTACGTACTTCACATCTGACTCAGCAGTTGCAGCATGTAGTGGCAGGCGCCCATTTTTATCTGCAATGTTCTGTTTGGCACCATTTCTGAGCAGACTCACACAGCCTTCTAGCCATCCCTGGAAGACAGAGGACAAGGTTAAAGAATAAACCAATGACCACATAATACCATAATATGCCTTCTCTCTGTGTCTCTGTTTCTGTCTGTCTCTTTCCGTCTGTCTTTCATTCTCCCTCTGCCTCTGTCTTTCTCTTATCTGTTTCTCATTCTTTTGCTTAGGATTCTTATCTGTAAATATGCCCTGTCTGGTTGCAAAATGCCCTGTTCAAAGGCAATCAATCAATCAGTCATAAGCACTTACTATATGCCAGGCACTGTGCTAAGTGGTGGGGACACAAAAAGAGGCAAAACACAGTCCCTGTCCTCAAAGGGCTTACAATCTAATGGGGCACTAGGAAGCTTCTTTTTAAAGTACTTCTGCTCCAAGCCTGGATACCTTGGCTGAGATAGCAAAACACTGAGGTGGGTTTACCCCTTAGTAATATATCCTCTTACCCTTTAGAATGATGCCATTCATCTATAGTAATCCCTGCTACATTTATCTGAAAGGGTGTGGGTCACTAATCAAGTTATCAATAGATGGAAAGAAACAGATATAAGTTAAAATTTAACCTTTAGTTAGAAAAATACCTCAAGGTCTCTCTACTCTGTTCCAAATCAGGTTCCTGCCTTCTTCCATTCTAGTATAGAGAAGGTAAAAAATGTCAAAGGTTTCATAATTGTATCAGAAAAATGAGTGAATAGATATGTTTTCTGGATGGCAAAAATAGCAGCAATAAAAATACACATTTCCTGTAAGTCAGGCCAACCTATCTGCAAAACAATTTGGAATTGTGATAATAAAGTATCTAAAGTCCCTAGTCTTTGGACCAGAAATCCCTCTGCTAGCAATACCATAGCAAGGAGGTAAATGACAGGAAAAAGAACCCATAGCTGCAAAAATATTAATAAATAACATCACTTTTCATAATAGCAAAGAATTGGCAAAAAATAGATGTCTGTTGATTAGCGTAATAAACAAGTAGTGATACAACAATGTAATGGAATACATTGAGGAATAACAAATGTTAAGAATTCATGTTAAGACTATTAAGAAGCCTAAGAAGACGTGTGACCTAATACCGAGGAAGTAAGGAAAATCAGAAAAATAATATGCATAATGATTACAACAGGGTAAATGGAAAGAGCAACAATAACAATGAAACTGAACACTATTTAATTGTAGTGACAAAGCTCAGGTCCCCAAAAGAGAGAAAATGTATCTCCTCATCTTTGTAGACGTGGAGAATCTGGAGCACAGAACATTGCATATATTATCACTAATTTTTGCTGAATGGGATATATTTGGAAATGAAGATGACATAAAAACAAAAGATGTACATACATCTCCCCCATCTTGGTAAATTTTCATTAAATTACTTTGTCAAACAAATGACCTCATAAAATTGATTAAGAGAAACAAATATAGATAATTAAGAGAACAAACATGAAAGCCCTTTGTTTTGTTTAGAATATGCTTCAAATCTCAAAAATTTTACAGCATTTGAACAGACACAGATCTTGCATATATATTTCATAGTTTGGAATATTTTTGTAAATATTGTAAGTTACTGAAATTCAGTATTTTTTCCAAAAAATCAGAAGCTCACTTGATTTATCTGCATAGTATATAACAGTCTAATCCAAATTTGTTACATATAAATTATTTGCATTATTGCTATCTGGGATAATTTTTCAATCCTCAGCTTACTCAGTTTTCTTTGGCTAGTTAGCATGCTCCTAAGCTTTCTCCCTCTCTCACTTCTGCCCTTTCTCTCCACTCTTAAGTTTTTTTTCCATCCAGCTCCTATAAAATTAGATTTCATTCCCTGAATTAGTTTAAATCAACTATGACTGAGGAGGTAAACCTAGGAATAAAGAGGAGGGGAAGCTGATAAGTGAGGTGCTGAGCTTCAGAGCAAGCGTGGATATAACCTTTCTGTTGGGTTATACAGAGCATGTGCAATATTCTCTATCTGCTGCCAATTTAATATGCAGCACTTTGGGGATCTAGTTTCTAGCCATGCGTAGCTGAGGGTCAAGAGTGACAATGTGGTGATGAAATGTCTTCTGGCTTGCCAAGAAGAAACATAATGACGTAGTAAAAATTGAGCCAGAACAGAGTGTGTTTACAAAAGCTTTGAGTAGGCTACTCCCTCACTCTCTTCTCTGACAATTTTGAGTGAGGGGGATTGGTAGGTGAGGGAGAGCAGGCACTATTCCCTATCTGGTTGCCATGTGGCCATAAACACATGGTACTTCTTTTTGTTGTTGTTGTTTGTTTTTTACTTTATGTGTTTATTCTGTATTGATTGTAGGTGATTGAGTATTCAGAGATGAACTGCATCAGGTAATGGCCCCGGGAGCTTTGAAAGTTAAGAAGAACCATCAGGGATTCAGCAACTGTAGTCAGCAAGACAGGTCACTTGAGCCTATATCTCAATATTCCAATGGCTGCGTCTGGTGAGGACCCAACCCTGAGGAGCAACCTGCTTGACTCAGCCCAGTTGTAAGTCAACCCAGTAACCAAGATACTGCATCCTGCAAGCAAGAAAGCAAATTGTCCATGAATGATGGCACATTTAGAAAAGAGCTTGGTGGAGACTCTGAAAAGATGCAGGAGCTTCAGGGCCGGGGGATACCTATCAGCCATGCATCTTCTCCATAGGACTGCTCTGAGACCACTGTACTTCAAGTCTGAGCCCACTCAATGTCCCAATGGACATCATATGTGTGTCTGTGTAGGAAAGGACAGTATGCCTGCTCATATGGAAGGATATTTCTGTAATCAATTCTTTGATATACCTACTTAGTAGACACCCTTTTATAAAAGCTAATTGGTTCTGGGTAATTGATATTAACTGACTAATCAACAACAGGAGGAGCACATGAGATGGGGACAATGAGCAGTAGTAATAAAAATCCAGCCTTTCAGGAAGATTTCCCTTGAAGGGAAAAGTAGTCAACTATCCTCCGGGGTCTTTGCCTGCCAGTGTATGTGAGAGTTGGGTAAGTGAACCCAGATGGGGTACCACATATGCCATGAATCATATCATACATTGCAGTGTTGAACCAAAAAAAAAAAAAGGCATCTGTGTCAATACTTTCCATTAATGCAAGTAACTGAGAGGTTGGCCATTTTTTTTTTGTTTCTATCTTTAATGTGTTCTATTACTCTGCTGATTTAAAGCTGTGCATTCTCAAAGAACCATAAACTTGAATTCAAGTCTGGTCTCACACTTACTAAATGTGTGACACTGGGCAAGTCATTTAAGCTCTGTCTGCTTCAGTTTCCCCAGCTATTAAAACAGGAATAACAATAGCACCTACCTCACAGGTTTGTTGCGAGAATGAAATGAGATAATATTTGTCACGTGCTTAGTTAGCACGATGCCTGACACATGGTAGATGCTTGATTGAGTCACAGTATGACTTAGTTTGAAAGCTTGATGAATTTGAAATAACACCAATATGGATATTACTGATACTAGTGCAGCTCATGGCCATTCCCCTTCTCTCATCTGGTGTGATTCGTATCTGTATCTTTCTGTATACCACCTATGGAATATCCTTTCGAACAGTGAGACGCCTTCCTCTGGTTATTTTTCTATTTTTTGAGGGGGGAGGGGAGTTAATACAATCTAGAAGCTGCTCATCTGTTGGCCTTTCATTCTTATATATATGACTAGTTCATGTCTTTTCTTTTAGTGTCATGTCCTTGAAAATGTCGTTTAAACTACTGTAGTACAAATGTACAAATCATTGCTGGTAATAGACTACAGTCTCCTCACACTGGCCATATGTCTCTCTCTTGCCTTTTGGGTTGTCTGCAATAATGACACTTCTGAGGAGATGGTATTTCATCTTATATAGTGCTTTAAGGTTAGCACAGCACTTTATAATTATTATCTTATCCTCACAACAACCCGGGGACGTAGATACTATTATTATCCCCATTTTACAGTTGAGGAAATTGAGGCAGACAAGAGTTAAATGACTTGCCCATTAGTAAGCGTCTGAGGCAGGATTTGAATTCAGATCTTCCTGACTCCAGGGCCAGCAGTGTATGCCTCTTTAACCTACAACAATCTGCTTCCTCATTGGATGGTGTACTCCCTCATATTCCTCCTGGCTTTTCCTATTTAAATGCTTCCCTTGGTTTCTGTAGAGGTCCAGCACTTTATCCACTTAGCTACCCCTCAACATTAGGAAAAAAACTTAAAATTTTCTTCATTTGCTGCTTATATAAATCAAAGAAAACTTTCTTACTGCTACACATCCATCATAACTTTAATTCTTTCCCCCTGTATTGCCTCTGACTTCTCTTTTCCTGTGATAGACATAAAGTTATACCTCATAAGTTGCCAGTGATAAGCTGGTGCGCCCACAGGAATCTTGAGTATTAATATTGGCTCCCATCTTCAGCAATAGTTTCACTGTGTCAACTTGACGACCAGAGACAGCATGTATCAAGGGAGTACAACCTAGGAGAAAACATTTAAACACCCCTTTAAAATGTTGCATTTGTTAGATTCATAAGCAATAATTTATTTTATGACATCAGGTCCCCTGGAGACAAATGAATAGGAACAAAACCCCAGCTGTTCAACATCTGTGTCAAGCTTATAAAAGATTTTGGCAAAAGAAAATTGTTGCTGAAGCTTATAAAAGATTTTGGCAAAAGAAAATTGCTGCTGTATCTTGTATAAATTAATTCCCTATTCATCCTTATTTCAGCATATTTTGGGAAGAAAAGCCCCATTAATTAATCAAATTTTAAAATTTGACTAAAAATTCCATACGACAGTCTCATAATGGTCTATGCAAACATTAATTATATAATAATGAAAATAGGAAAAGATATTAAGTAACATTTTGTAGGTAATTTTCTATAACAGACCACATAATCATGGTCAAATGGTTACTTTGGGAGATGAAGACAATTTAAGATCACTGTATGTATTTAATTTGGTGGATCAAAATGCAGATTTGAAGATCTTTTCAACGTGGCCCTTCCCATGCATATGATGACATTATCCAAGGTCTATGAAAGACGTGAATACACAGATGATTCACTGAACATCGATAACATCAAGAGAGGTATAAAACAGGAAGGCATCTTTCAACAAATCAACAAGCATTTATGAATCACTTACCATGTGATATGTTGGAGATAACAAAGACAAACATGAAATAGTCACTATCCTCAAGTTGCTTGTGTTGTATTGGGTAAGATCTAAAACAAATACAAGATAATTTTGGGAAAGGTACTACAAGCATGCAGATAGGCTTCAGGTGGTCTGTGAACTGAGCTTTGAAAAAAACAAGAGCTTCTAAGGGGCAAAGGGGAGGGGGTTGTGCCTTCTGGCATGGGTTTGGGAAGGAGGACTGTCAGTAAAAAGGTACAGCCAAGTTCTCTGGCTCACTGAATGTGGGGAGGGAAGTAATATATAATAAGATGAGGAAAATAAGTTGGGGCCAGGTCATGAAGGGTGTTAAGTTCCAAATGAAGGAGTTTCTATTTGATCCTTAAGGCAATAATGAAATGTTTGAGTGTGTTAGTGAAATGGTCACACGTATGCTTTAGGAAAATCACTTTAGCAGCTAAGCTATTTGGAGGATGAACTGGAGAGGAAAGAGCCTTGAGGTAGGGAGACTAACTAGGAAACCATTGCAATAGTCCAGGAAATAGGCGATGAAGGCCTGAACAGGGGTTAAGGTGGGTGACTATGTGATTGGAGCAAAGGGAATGGATATGAGAGATGTTGGAGAGGGAGAATGTCAAGATTTGATAACTGAATGGATTTGTGCGGTGAGTGCAGTTGAGGATATGAACCTAGCAAACTCAAAGAATAGTGGTGCCTTTGAAAGAAATAGGTAGGTTTGGACAAGAATTGGTTTTTTGGAAAAAGTTCTTTTTGTTGAATGTTGAGACACCTGCAGGATATATAGTTTGAAATGTACAACAGGTAGTTGGTGATGAAGGAATGGAGCTCAAGAGAGTAACTGGTAATGGAGAGGTAGATTGGAGTCACCAGCAATAGAGCTGACAATTAAATCTGTGGGAGCTGATTAGTTTGCCAAATAAGAGAACATAGAAAGAGAAGAGGACCCAAAACAGATCCTTGGGGTATACCCACAGTTAGGTAGCAGAATGTGGATAATTATCTAGCAAAGGAGACTGAGAAGGAGCCTTAGGTAGACAGAAGGAGAACCAGTAGGATGAGAGTGTCACAGAAACCCAGAAAAGAGAGAATTTTCCAGAAGAGAGTCATCAATATTGTCAAATGTTGTAGAGAGAAAAAAAAAAGATGACGGTTGAGAAAAGGCCACGAGGCCTGGAGAGAGCAGATTCAGTTGAGTTATGAGGTCAGAAGCCAAGTTGCAAAGGATTGAGAACAGAGTGAAAGGAGAGGAATGGGAGGAAATGAAATAGACAGCTTTTTTGAAGAGTTTTGAAGACACAGCAGAAGTGACATAGGGTGATATCTTGGGGGCATAGTAGGGTCTAGTGAGGGTTAATTTAAGGATGGAAGAGACTTCAGAGTATTTATAAGCTGCAAGGAAGAAACCAGTAGTTAGTGACTGAATTTTAGAGAAGGCAATGATTAAAAATGTTATTTATGTTAATAGAGAATGGGTTTATTATTTTTAAGCAAATTAATAAATAAGTAAAAATTTATCAGTTTTAGTTTTTAATACAGTAAATATTGTTAGATAAAACCCACATATGGCAAATGCTCTTTGGGGATCCTCAATAATCTTTTTTAAGTGAAAAATAACTATATTTTTCCAAACAAAAATAATGAGAAAAGTGGCAATGTTTTGCATATTTTTGCAAATTTCTTTAATGTCTGGCCTAATAGAAGACAGCTGGTCTTCATTTTTGTTTCCACATTAACTTTATTGTGATATGTTGTTTGCTCAAAGTATATGAAGAAAATCTAGCCTGACACAGACATGTAGTTGGAAAAGAGAGGAGTAGTTTAATAAGCCAAGCTGCAGTTAAATGGAGGGACAGCTTGTAGGTCCTCCTTGGACAGGCAAACAAGGAAGTTGGCAGTTGCAAGAAATATCATGTCATGGAATCCTTGGCCATCTAGCCTTGAGGTGCTCACAGTGAGAACAAGCATAGACCTGCTATAGGACTAGTGGAGGGTGATGGGGCCTTGAGAGTCAGACATGGTTCCAAACCAAGTGAGCATTCTCTCTCCAGAGAGTGGGCTTTCTCATTTCTAAATGATCACTTTATTCTATTTTTCAGTGTTTCTTCTAGTTTTCTGCCATTGTGTTTTTTATTTTCACAGATCAGACAATATACGCTAATCTTTTTTTAAAAAAATGAAACTGCAGTTGAGGCATGTCAGTGATTTAAATCTAGCCCATTTTTCTCTGAGAGGCAGCATGATGTATTGTACAGAGAGTTGGCCTCAGAGTCTGGGTTTGAGACTTATGTATTTCTTATCTTTTTCCCTGTTCACTAGAGTTTTATCTTATCTTTAAAAATTTTTAAAAATAATTTCATTGATATTTTTTGCTTTTCATCAACTACATTTCTTCCCCCATCTATCCCCAAGGGTCTTCCCTTATAATAAAGAATAAGAAAAAGAAACAACAAAATAGGTCTACAAAACCACTTACACGGTTTGATGCTATCTGCAGTATTCATGGTTGTAATTCTAGCTCCTTTGTGTTCTAGAATATCATATTCCAAGACCTCTGCTTCTTTAAGTGGTGACTGCTAAATCTTGTGTGATCATGTCTGTGGCTCCACAGCATTTGAATTATTTCTTTCTGGCTGATTTGCTTTATTTTCTCCCTGACCTAGCAGTTTTCAATTTTGGCTATAATATTCCTGGGAGTTTTCATTTTAAGATTTCTTTCAAGAATTAATTGCTAGATTCTTTCAATTTCCACTTCACTTTGGTCTCTGGTTCTCAGGTATCTGGGCAGTTTTCCTTTATAATTTCTTGAAATATGATGTTTAGACTATTTTTTACCATGGTTTTCAGCTAGTTTAATAATTTTTAAGTTATTTCTCCTTTATCTTGATCTCCCTAATCCTTGATTTTCCAGGTCATATGAGAGATTTAAGATATTCCTTTTTTTTTCTCCCAGTCTTTTGACTTTATTTTATTGTTTCTTGATAGCTCATGGAGTCATTAACTTCCACTTCTGCTTTTTAAGGAATTCTTTTTTTCAGTGAAGTTTCATACCTCTCTCACCATTTGGCCAATTCTGCTTTTTAAGGAGTTCTTTTCTTTAGTATTTTTGTGCCTCTTTTTACCAAGCTGTTAATTCTCTTTTCATAATTTTCTTTCATAATTTTCATTTCTTTCCCCAATTTTTTGTCCTACTACTCTCATTTAATTTTTAAAGTCATTTTTTGCTCTTCTAAAAAAATCTCTTTAGTTTTCCTATGAATTATTTTTGGGCTTGTGTACAATTGGAACTTTTCTTTGCAGCATTGCTTGTAGATGTCTTCAAGTCAATGTCTTCTTCTGAGTTTGTGTCTTGAGCTTCTCTATCACCATAGCAATTTTTGTGGCAACTTTCTTTAAAAAATTGTTCATTTTTCCTGCTTACTTCTTAATTTTGGACCTTATATTAGGGTTGTGCTCTACCCTGCTTTGGAGGGTTGGGTTGGGGAATGACCAGCCTAAGCTTCTGTCTTTTATGTCCTTCTGCTACTTTTACAGCTTGATCTGGGGGTATGTAAGGTTTTGGTGCTTCTAATATGATGAGATCCACAGAGAAGTCTGGTCACTACCTCCTTGGTCTGCACTCTGGCCCTTACCCAGATAGGACTTCTCTTTCCTCATGACTATAACTGCTCCTCTTTACCCTGGATATGTGACTTGGAACTAAGTAACGGACAACAGAGCTGCCAAATGGCATCCAGTCTTGCTTCCAGTGCTAGTTCAGGCATCCTCTTGGATCTTTCTCTGACTAGGTGTTCATTCAGTCCCCTACCTTGTCCCTGGGTGCTACTGTTGACCCACAGCCCATAGAAGTGCCACTTCCACCATACTGCACTCCCAGCCCAGGGTGTGTAGACCTTTCTTTCTGTCTTCCTATGGTTTCCTAGGCTAGAAAAATGATTCACTGTGATTTTTTCTTGGCTTTCCAACTAATAATTCTGTTTGATATTTTCTGTGGTCATTTTGTAGAGGAGGTTTTGGGAGAGATTTGGCAGTTGTGACCTTTCATTCCACCATCTTAATTCTGCCTCTCTGATCACTATTTCTGAATGGGGAAAAGAGGTCCCCATGTTTTATATCCAACACTTGAATTCCTTTTGACCACCAATTCCAGAATGAACATGCATAGCAAACAGCAAAGAAATCTATTTATTGAAGCTGATTGAAAAAAAAAATCTTAGAAAGCAGATGAAGTATTCATATGATAATATAAACCAGGTAACACACAGAGTAAACGAACTCTCCCTATGGGAATGAAATAATCAATCTCAGCTGAGAGAGAGTCCCAGCCTCTCACCCAAAGGGTAAATTTTTTCTTAAGACTTTAGTTTAGCAAGCTGTAGATAGAGACATGATAGAGACTGCCAATTCCTCTCATGTTGGCTTATTCTCAAAGTCTTTCTCTCCTTTTAGTGACCTCAAGAGAGGTAGGCATTGAGGGTCTTCTCCTCAAATCCAGAAGCCAGAAGAAGCCCATGATCTCACTTCTCTCTGGCTCCCATCAACTCTACCATCCCTTGCTGTAGACACAGGACATTGATCCAAAGTAAGGAGGCCAGAGTCCCATATGATTTCCTTTTGAGCCAAGAATTACACATTGATTAAGTACTAGACACTGTGCTAAGGGCTGGGGATAAAAAGGAAAAAGGGAAAAAGTCCTTGACCACAAGGAGCTTATAGTCTAGTGGGGGTAGGCAATATATACAGATAAGCATTTAAATACGCACATATGGTACATCCAAAGTAGATACAAGATAATCTCAGAGGGGAAGGCACTAGAAGCTAGGGAAAGGATAGTGGGGTTGATGGGACCTGGAAAGGCCCCTGTAAAAGGTGGTACTTAAGACTGAGATTTGAAGGAAGCCAGGGAATTTGAGAGGTGAAGACATGATTTCTGGGTAATTTAATCATTTTATTAATAATGCCAGCATTTTAATAAATGGATGGTCATTTGGTTGTCTCTCTTTTAGACCAAAGACAATCATGGTGGCAGGCTCATGGCTTATATGCCCATTGGAAGAGGGGTGTTACTGGGGGTGACAATCAACTCTGATTATTTAACAATTAATGAGAGAATGAATATTACAATTAGGGGCTGAACCTATTCAAATGAATTTTGACTTATCATTTACTTCTAAGTTACACTCCCCCCCAATGCCTTGGGCAATCTATTCAAATAACTTATCCCCACTCAAACCTGAGTAGAGCGCAATGAATTCCCTACCTGGATGGGGTCTGAACAAGAAAGTTAGTCTAATCTCATTATCAGCAATGCCTTTCAAGAGACTGAACTTTTGAAATCTGGACTTTAGAAAATGGGGGATCTCTAGATCTCCCCAAATCATTGGTTATTAGTAATCATTTCTCTCAATTGGGAGGATAGGAAAATTTTATATTTGCTCCTAGATGTAACAGGTAACAAACTGTAATTTACTGAGCTGAGGAATGATGTAGTCAGATTTAGTGCTTAAGTAAATCACTTGGGCAGCTACATGGAGAATGGATTGGAACAGGCAACAATTTGGCAAAGAAACTAATTAGGAGGTTATTGAAATAGTATAGGTGAGAAGTAATGAAGTTATGAACTAGCATGCTGGCTGTGTGAATGGAAGGCCAGTGATGTGTACGATGAATGTTGTAGAGTAAACATGACAAGATTTAACATCTGGGTGAATGAGTTCAGTAAACGAAAGTAAGAAATTAAGGATGATGTTGAGTATGTGAACCTGGGTGACTAAAAAGATGGTGGTACCCTTAATATCAATGGTGAAATTCAGAGAATTGGTGGATTTAGGGGCAAAAATAAAGAGTTACATTCTAGACCTTTTGAATTTGAGATGCTTCTGGGAAATCTAGTTCAAAATGTCCAACGTGCAGTTGGAATTTAGGAAAGACTAGGGCTGCCTCTAGACAGATCTGAGAGTCATCTGCATAGAGATGTTAATCAAACCCATCGGAGCTGATGAGATCACTAAATGAGAAAGTACAGAGAGAAAAGAGGACCTAGGAGAGAGTCTTGGGCTATGACCAATACTACAGGTCCCCTTACCCCCATGCTGTGCTTGCAGTTGGGCTGGCTATGGCCCATCACATCTATTTTGCAAATTAAGAAACTATCTACTTCAGGCATAATATGAAAGTTGTAGAAGATTTGGATATGGCCTAGTGTCCTGCAGAGAGAGCAAAGCAAGCAAGATAATCCTTGTTTCTTCCTCGTAGAACAGCTTGTCAGATATCATGTCATTAGTATGGCTTACTTTAGAAGGCTGTCCCAAAAAGGCAAAATTAACGTTTCTTAGGACGATGATGAATAAGCATCTTACCTTCTCTGTCACAGCATTCTAGAATCGAAGGGTCTTCCCGAATCACCGCAGTCAGTGTGTTGACATCTCCATTTTCTGCTGCCTGGTAAACCAGGGTCAGGTCAGTTTCCTCAGCTGAGTCACCTTAATGAATTAGAGACAATGGCTAGACTGTAGCCGCTAGAGCATATGAAGTTTCTTCACTGTGACAAATTACACACAAACAAATAATGATAATAAAAATGGCTCTTTTTGAAGTACTGAAGACTCAGAAAGCTCTGTAATGATCCAGTGAAGTATACTAATCATGCATTTCATAGTCTCTACAATTTCCTTGCATAATATGCCGTTGATCACCAAATTCAGGCCTTAAGAATAATTAACACTTATACAATTTCTAGTGACAATGGCTTGGTTCTGAGTTGCCATTATAAACTGATCCGTTTTCCACAAACAAATCTCCACGACTCCGTCATTTATCTGACACTTCATCGTGACATAGTGTTGGCTGCCTCTATGTAGATTTCATCCATGGGGGATCTTTTGTTTCCAGTCTTGGATCTTTGCTCTTTCATAGGTTGCATCTTCAGGTAAGTGACTTTTGATCACAAGAAATAAATAAAATAGCATCTACCTATTACCAGCCTTTCCTGTTGCTCAGTGAAGGAATGTCAGCTTTCCCCAGAAATATTCTGTGAATTTTAATCTGTTTATTATTTATTCTAAAAAGCTTTATCAATCTTCTTCCTCTTTTTTTTTTTAACAAGGAAGTGTTAATCTTTCTATAACTGCCTGCATGTGATGGGCTCAATATTTTGTTAATATTATGTGGGTTTTTATTAGGCTACTTTCCAAATCTATTATAATCTCTTTTACAATATTGAAAGTATACCTTAAGACTGGTATTGCATAGGACTCAGGGATGGGGAACCTGTGGCCTTGAGGCTATACATGGCCTTCTAGGTCCTTGGGTGTGGCCTTTTGACTGGGTCCAGGTTTTATAGAACAAATCCTTTTTTTAAGGGGATTTGTTCTGTGAAGTTTGGATGCAAAGATAGAGACAGTCTCTATCTCTCCTCTCTCTTTCTCTCTCCAGTGCAATCCAGAGGTGAAGGTTCTGTTCGCTCAAAACATGGTCATCATGAAGTAAATTAGGTGGAGGGAAGTATTATCTTTTCCCTCCCTTTAGGCCCTGTGATCCCAAGAAATGGGCTTGGGACTTCAGATTTTAGTCTGTTTTGGTTTTCCTTTTCAGGAAAACACGTACATACACACATATACACACACACATATGTGTGTGTGTGTGTGTGTGTGTGTGTGTGTATAGTGGAGTCTGAGCCATGGTGATTCTGGAGCCAGGCTTCCAGGTTGCATGTTGCTACCACATCAGCAGAGAAGCCCTGGGTGTCAGAACCTGAGCCCAGGTTCTGGGATTCCATCTCCTCACATAGAACTCTAAAGGACAAATAAAATAGACCCCAATCTCAAGCCCATTTATTGAGACCATAGAGTTTGAGTGGAAGGGGAGCCAGCTTAGGGGCCCCTGCTGTAGATGAGAAAAGGACCTTCATCTGTGGATGCTGAAGCCATCTCATTCTGTTAGTTTTAAAGATGCAGACTGGTCAGTGGAAAGAGACTGCTCCTCCCCTCGTGGAAACACAGGACGTCTTCTCCCAGAGGCAGGTCTCTGCCCTCTCCCATATGGGTGCCTCTATCTTAGGTGATTTGGAAGTGCACCAGAGCTGAGTTAAACTGATACCTGGTTAAATCTTCTATTTCCAGTTGTGTTATGAGCTAGTCCTGGCACATAATGAAGATATTTCTGTGTTCAGTCCATTTCATGGGCAATCGTGGTTTGCTCACTTTAGCACTCAGTGCCATCTGCACTAAAGTGTTTCCAGCAAAGGAGAGGCAGGGGTGGTAGTATTGATATTTCTGATTCGTTCTAGTATAGCCCCCTCCTCTAGTGTTACCAGAACATGAGGCATTATCGCTTGTTGCTTTGTTCTCTGTGTCAAGCTGATCATCGTGGCAGTTTCAAGTAGGGCCAATGTGTTCCCTATGCTAGCTGTCTGTTTCTTAGATTCTTAGAAGCAGTTGCATCACGCTGACTGGGGTGCTAATCCAATTGATGGTGTTGCCAGAACCCAAATTGCGAGTGTTTCAGGATTTCTATAGGGCTTTCACAACTACCATAACGGTCGTAGGTCATACTAAGTTCCCAATGTACATCACCCTCAATTGCATTTCCCTACTTTGCCATTACAATCACTTCACCCCCATAGCATAGATGATGGAATGAACTTTAAGGGGGTTATTGTTATTATTACTGAAATCATCCCTCCCAAAGACATTTGCCTTTTGACTTTTAGAAGACCTAAAAGTCCCTAGAAGCCCAAGGATTCTTTCTGTAATGATGGAGCCATACTTAGTGACAACTGGTGGGAGAGATACTTTTGGGCAGGAGGACCTAGCCAAGATAACATTAAAATCTCATCATGGGGCAGACAGTTTCTCTACTTTCTCATTCAATTTTTTTTCCTTTTGTTTTTAAACTTAACAGTCATCCATAATCAAGGAAAACAAAATGAGTATTGTATGAGAAACTGTAAATTTCTGTTACATAAGCTAGTTTTTTATTTTTTAAAAAGTAAATATTAAAATGAGCACAATAGTAATAGAATTGCTCTGTTTGTGGCCCCTTATCAACTTCTTTTCATTTTCTTCAGCATACTTTTAAAATGTTTTATTGATAACCATTTCTCTTTTTTTGGACATCTCTACCACTACACAGTAATTCACCATCCCCTGTTCCCATCTCTGTAGATGCCCTCCCTCATGACAAATAAACCCAGTTGGCCATTTTGAAAGTGCTTGTCTCATTCTGCACATCTAGTCCATCATGTCTTTGCCAAAGACATGTGAAATGCTTCCTCATTTGTCCTTTGAAGTCATAATCGGTCATTGAATCAATGAGACTGCTGTATCACCCTGCCTTCTCATCAGGCTGGTCCCAATGCTTAGATCACACTGAAGAAACTGTTTAATGAGCTGAAGATGTTGAACTTAGTAATTGGGATATGATCTTTGCTCTGTAGACCTTTGGATTGGTTTTGACCTTGAAGATATCTATACTGAGCATTATTCTTCCAGCTGGTCTCCCTAAGAATATGCTGACCTTGGGGACCCAGTTTTCTGCCTTGGTCTCAGAAGACTATTTTCAGGCTAGTTTTTGGTCTGAGTCTTCTGCAGTTTTATTGTAGGTCCTTAAAGCTGTGCTAACTCTCTAAAGTTTCTGTGTGTGCTCTTCAGGCGGTCATTGCAATACCACAGCTAACTGAGTGTCTCAGGGATTTCTAATAGCATTTCTAGAATATTAGAAAAGTCTCCCAGGGAATCGAAAGTATAATAAAATTAATTTTAAACAGGGTAATCCATAACATCACTAGAGGCATCATGGTAAGGTGGTCTGTGTTCTAGTCTTGGTTTGGTGACTGTCTAGCTCTATGACCTTAAGCAAGTCATTTCACTTTTCTAGAAATGAGTAAGTTGGGTCAAGATGATTGCTAAGGTCCTTCTGGTTCTAAAAACTTTATGACCCTGTGCTTCTAGCTTTCCCTCATTTCAATTCCAGCCTTAAGATTCAAATGTCCTCCAATAACTTAAAAATAATATATTTCCACATGTTATCTCCCTATATGAAATTTATATTATGTAATATGAAAAACTATATATTTCTGTATGTGTCCAGTAATAATAATTGTCATTTAAGTTTTGAAAATGTAATTTTAAGTAATACAAATATACATTATCTCATAGGATTCTAATAAGGACCCTGTGAGGTAAGTACTAAAAGCATTATCACAATAGCAATAGTAAGCATTTATATAGCGCTTTAAGGTTTGCTAAGCACTTTACAAATATATGGTGTTCCAAAAGTCTTGCTGTAGTAAACTACAAGACTTTTGGAACATCTTGTATTATCTCATTTGTTTCTTACAACAGCCCAGTGAGGTAAGTGCTATTATTATCATTCCCATTTTACAGATGAGGAAACAAAGGTAGACAAGTTAAGTGACTTGGCCAGAGTCACACAGCCAGTAAGTGTGTGAGGTAGAATTTAAATTCAGGACTACCTAACTTCAGCATTCTAGGCATAGATGAATAAACTGATGATCAGAGAGGTTAAATGATTTGTCCATGGGCACTCAGCTAGTAAGTTTTGACGGTAGGATTCAAATCCAGATCTTTTCTGACTCCAAGTTCAATGTTCTTTCAATTCAACTAGGTGTGAGAGATGATCTCTCAGAAGTGAAGCCTCCTTAGCGGATCGATCAGTGGTTCTTGTTAATACTTCTTGATTGTTGCTTTCAAACCCCCCCCCCCCCACCTCAGACCCTGTTTTTAAATGCTTAACAGAAAGAATAGCCCTGACCTCAACCTGAACTGCTTGCCCTTGAAAAGCTTCCCGCCTTCTCTTGTCTCTGGGATAAGGAGAAGGGGGTTAGGGAAGGGAAATTGCAGTAAGTTTCGGTTTCCTAGAAATCACCTAAACCTATAGGAATTTGGCCCTAAACCGCCTCCTGATTGCCACACCACTGTCACATCAGCATTAGGTTTACTAAATAAGGACATGTATGTTTGGATTGGCTATGCCCTGTCTCCTTGTTCTTTGTCTTTGAATTTTTGCGCCTAGAATGTAAGTCTGCCTCCCAGCTAAGGGGAATGGGAAGATTTTTGTGCCTAAGAATGTAAGCCTGCCTCCCTACCAATAGGATTAAGGGATAGTGGTGGGTGAAGGTTTGTTTGCATTAGGGTATATAATCTCATTTTGCTTTCTGTGCCTCGCCTCTCTCCTGCTAGAAGTGTAACCTGAGGAGCAGATGCCCCTTCTCCTGAGATTGTAATAAAAAGTAACTTTTGCTTCCACCTTGAAAAGTCTCTGAGTTTGAGAGTCACTATCTTTTCTTCCTCAGTATACAAAGAAAAGGGCCAGCTGTTATGAACCTTAAACAAAATAAAACAAACACTCCCCTGCCGTAATATTGTTTAAGATGATGCACAATCAGGAGAAAAATAAAAATAAAAACCAATCTCAATGCATTTTTTGTTCCAATCATTAAAGTGAGGGTTGGTGGGCTGCA